TCGAGACCAGCCTGGCCAACATGGTGAAACTCCATCTCTACTAAAAATACAAAAATTAGCTGGGCATGGTGGTGGGTGCCTGTAATCCCAGCTACTCGGGAGGCTGAGGCAGGAGAATCACTTGAACCCAGGAGGCTGAAGTTGCAGTGAGCCAAGATCGCACCACTGCATTCCAGCCTGGGCAACAGAGTGAGACTCCATCTCTAAAATAAATAAAAAATAAAATAAAGTGTTATCTGGCACGTAAGTAGCCCTCAAATGTTAACTATGAAGGTTTATGGTTTTAAAATGTCAGTTGATATCTTTTGTCCGTTTTTTATCAGGTTGTCTAATTATAAGTATATATATTTTTCCCCTTTGTTTTTAAATTGATACATTCACATACCATAAGACACATTCTTTTACAGTGTACAATTCTGTACTTGTAGTATATTCACAAGGCTGTACAACCATCACCCCTATCTAATTCCAGACATTTTTATCATCCCCAAAAGAAACCTCTATCCATCATTAGTCACTTCCCATTCCTGCCTCCTCCCAGTCCTAGACAGCCATAATCTACTTTCTGTCTCTATGGAGTTGTCAATTCTGGACATTTCAAGTAAGTGGAATCATATGATATGTAACTTTTTGTGTCTGGCTTCTTTCACTTAGCATATTTTCAAGTTCAGCCATGCTATACTTTATTCCTATTAATAGCTGAGTAATATTCCATTGTATGGATAGATCCCATTTTGTTTATCCATTCATCAAATAAAATTTGTTTCCACTTTCTGGCTATTATAATACTGCTGGCCGGATGCAGTGGCTCACGCCTATAATCCTAGCACTTCGGGAGGCCAAGGCAGGTGGATCACTCTGAGGTCAGGAGTTTGAGACCCAGCCTGGGTCTCAAAACCCTGTCTCTACTAAAAATACAAAAATTAGCCAGGTGTGATGGCGGGAGCCTGGAATCCAAGCTACTTGGGAGGCTGAGGCATGAGAATCGTTTGAACCCAGGAGGCGGAGGTTGCAGTGAGCCAAGATTGTACCACTTCACTCCAGTCTGGGCAAAAAGGCAAAACTGTCAAAAAAACAAACCAAAAAAAAGAATACTGCTATGGACATTTGTGTACAAATCTTCATATAGACATGTTTTCAATTCTCTTGGGTAGATTCCTAGGAGCAAATTTGCTGCGTCATGGTAATTATGTTTAACTTTTTAAGCAACTGCCAAACTGTTTTCCAAACAACTGCACTATTTTATATTCACATCAGCAATGTTTGAGGATTCCAACTGCTCCACACCCTTGGTTCCAATTGCCCCACTTGTTATTGTCCATCTTTCTTATTCCAGCCATCTTAGTGGGTGTGAAATGGTATCTCATTGCATCTTGACTGGTATTTCCCTAACCTTTTCACGTGCTTATACTATTCTTGATAGTATCCTTTGATGCATAAAAGTTTTTAATTTTGATGTTTTTCTCTTTGATTGCTTATGTTTTTGGTGATATAGCTAAGAAACCATTGCCTAATCCAAGGTCATAAGAACTTATGCCTATATTTTCTTCTAAGAGTTTTATAATTTCAGCTTACATTAGGTCTTTACCCCATTTTGAGTTAATGTTTGTGTATGATAATGACGTAGGAGTCTAAACTCATTCTCTTGCATCTGCTTCTCCAGGTGACCCAGTGCCATTTGTCAAAAAGACTATTCCTTCCCCAGTGAACTGTCCTGGCGCCCTTGTTGAAAACTGACCAAAAATGTACAGGTTTATTTCTAGACCCTCAATTTTATTCTAACAATCTAGATGCCTATCCTTATGCCACTACCACAGTGTCATTACTGTAGCTTTGTAGTAAGTTTTGAAATTGGGAACAGTGAGCCCTCCAAACTTTGTTTTCTTTTTTCAGGACTGTTTTGGCTATTCTGAGTTCTTTTCATTTCCATAAGAGTATCAGAATTGGCTTGCCAATTTCTGCAAAACTACCCAGGATTTGGATAAGGACTACATTGAATTTGTAGATCACTTTAAGTGGTATTGCCATCTTAGCAATATTAAGTGTTCTAATCCATGAACACAGGAGGTCTTTCCATTTATTTATGTCTTTTTAAGTTTCTTCCAATGATGTTTTGTTGTTTTTAGTGTTACAGTTTTAGTCATACACTTTTGTTAAATTTATTCCTATGTACTTATTCCTTTTGACGCTACTGTAAATGGAATTGTTCTTAATCTTATTTTCAGATTGTTCACCGTTAGTGCACATAAATATGACTTCCGTGTACTGATCTTGCATCCTGCAAACTTGCTGAACTCATTTATCAGCTCTAATAGTTTTCTGTGGATTCCTTACTATTTTCTATATACGATCATCAGCAGCAAACAGAGATAGTTTGATTTCTTCCTTTCCAATCTAAATGACTTTCATTTCCTTATGTTACCTGATTTCATTGGCTATGACCTCCAGTACAATGTTGAACAGAAGTGGTGAGAGCAGAATCCTCATCTTGTTCCTGATCTTAGGGGAAAAGCACTAAGTCTTTTGCCATTAACTACATTGTTAGCTATGTTTTTTGTAGATGCCTTTTATCAGCTGCAAGAAATTTCCTGCTATCCCCAGTCTGCTGAGTGTTTTCTTTTTTAATCACAAAAGGAGGTTGGAATTCGTCAAATACTTTTTGTGTTTATTCAGATGATCACGTAGTTTTTGTCCTTTTTTCTATTAATATGGTGTAATAAATTGATTTTTGTATGAAGAACCAGCCTTAGGTTCCTTACATATAAATCCTACTTTTCATGGCATATAATCCATTTCATATATTGCTGAGTTCAGTTTGTTAGTATTTTGTTCAGGACTACGAAAAGTTGTGTGGTTTTGTTTGTTCTGAGCCCAGGCTAGAGTGCAGTGGCATAATCACAGCTCACTACAGCCATAACTTCCCAAGCTCAGGTGATTCTCCCACGTCAGCTTCCCAAGTAGCTGGGATTACAGACAAGCACCACCATACGCAGCTAATTTATTTTCTGTATTTTTAATAGAGATGGGGTTGCACCATGTTGCCCAGGCTGGTGTTGAACTTCTGGGCTCAAGTGATCCACTAGCCTGGGCCTCCCAAAGTGCTGGGATTACAGGCGGGATTCACTGGCTGCAAAAAGTTTTAAAACATGAAAAATACCACCATATATTGTACTATCACTATGTATCATTCATGGGTATATACATATGTATAAAAACATAGGGAATTATATACAACAAATTGGGATAATGCTGACATCTTGGAGAAAAATAAGAATACAACTGGAAAAGGGTATAGATGAAGCCTAAGTATACTTGTAATGTCTTATTTCTTAAAATAGCTGTATTTGTAACACTCGTGTTATTATTTAGACTTTTTTTATATATCTGAAACATTTTATAATAATAATTTTT